AAATCTGAAAATTGCACTATATAGTTAGGTAGAAGCATGTGCTTTAGTTATCCAATTCTATTGATTTCTCTCCGTGTGTATTATATTTTCAATTATTTTTTTAGGTATTTATTTGTTTAGATTAAAAATTCTCTCTATTTTTATTTGTTTAACTTAAGATAAGTAGTTACATATTTATGGTATTTGGATAGTTAGTCCCTTAGGATTTGATACTTGGACTCACGTTCACTTTATTATTTGATACAATCTATTGCACGTGTTAGGATTTTTATGATCAATTAGGGTAACTTTATAGGGGAAAAATGGCTCCTTTTACATCCTTTAGAGTGAACATGAACCAATTCTAGGGGTTTGGCAACTAGCTTTATAGTAGGAGTTTAGCATCTATAATGTGGCAAAGACTCGCTTCCTATATTTTTTTTTCTTTCCTTGTTGGGGTCTCCTTTCTAAAAAATTATGCTAATAATCATGTTGATTTCCAATAAAAGGATTGTAGAACTCATTAGGTTCTTTTTTACTCCAATCTTGCCTAGTGCCTTATTTTATAAATTGTTTAAGGTAGCCTTTAATGCTTAATTACACCTATCTCATTTTGTTTTGCAAAACATTTCTCCATGTCATGTCCATTATCTTTTTAGAAAAGACAATAGTTTTTTTTTTTTTTTTTTTTTGTAACGCGATATTAAGAGCTCTTTTTATGGAGGGTGGGTAGGAGACATAAACTTCCTCTTGTATTACAATATACACCTTTGTATAGGTGAAATTCGGATGAGTGCTTTGGAGCCCAAGAAACACTAGACAATCGTGGATGGATCCTTTAGGATTTTTTTGGGCTCTAGTAATTTTGGGGAGACTTTTCTTTCTTGATCCTCTCTTCTTTTCCCTTTTGCAATAGAAGTTATAACTTATTGATGATGGTAGCCTTTTCTACCCAAATCCAACCCTCTCGTCATTCTTTTTATCAAGTAAATTATAAATTAGTCCCTCTTATTTTGATAAACGAATTAATTAGTCTTTTTTATTTGAAAAATTAATCATTTAGTCCTTTAGTCCTTTTTTCTCATTTTCAATTTATTTTATTTAAAAAAATATAAAATATAAAAATAAAAATATTGATGAGAAAAATACATTTTATGAAATGAAAATAATATTAAATTAAGAATTATCAATACTAGTTAAAGGACTAAATAATATTTTTTGAAATGTAAAGGACTAATTAATTCATTTCTTAAAACTAGAAGGACTATTTTATAGTTTACTATTCTTTTTATTCGAAGTGATTTCTATCTAGGAATATGCAAAGTTTCTTCCATAACTCGATGTTGAAAACCCCACCTATCAAGGCTTATATGGCAACAAGTTCTAATAGTCTATCTATCTTCAACATCTACTCATGAAACCTAGAGAGGTATGCTTAGGCACTCGTCACTTTCTTTTTGGGGTTTAATACATCATGCACCCTTGAAATTTAATAGAATTATCGCTATAACCCTTATATCTAGATAGTTTATAATCAACCATATATTATTAGAAGTTGGTGTAAAAATAACCCCTCCATTATGTTTTTCTATCGGTTTGACTAACTTCTATTAGTTGACTAACGAAGACCAATACAATTCGACATTTATCATTTTAAGGGTGAAAACATAATTTTCTTTCTAATTTATGTTTTGTACACTTTGTTTTAAGTTAAGATAACTAATAATAATTTAAAAAGGATGTTCTAAATTCACAAGGACTATAGCTAGTTAATGTAATCCTTATCAATATGCTCACATTCCAAGTATTTGGCAAAATGTAATTCTTCAAAAAAAGACAAATCTGTAGAGTTTTCTTGGATTTAAAAATCCATAAAAATTTTCTAATAATTCCATTATACATAGAATGAAAGGTCAATAAGTGAGCGAGTTTGGGTACTCGATGAATAAAACTAGAACAAACATATTATTTGGAGCATAAAAAAGAAGTAGTCAATTATCTAGGTTAACCTTTTGCTTGAATGAAGAATACTCGGCATTGTCTATAGTTAATTCTGATTGAAATTAATTTTCAATTATATTATTGAAGATTTCCTTATTAATATAAGGCAAAAATTACTTACTCACACTTGAAGAAAGAAAGCAATCCTAAAAGGGATAAAATAATTATTACAATAAATCTACCTCTCTAGAATCTTATGTACCATATCAAGCCTTTGAAATTACTCCTTATATAACCATCTATAATTATATCTCGAACTAATAATTTATATCTTGCTTTGCTTGATGTTCTTGAGGAAGAAGAAGAAGACGAGAAAGAAGAGTAAAACGAGGAAGAAGAAAAACACAACATAAGTGATGAATTATAGCAACAAACAAATTAGTGAAGATTTTTACTTATTTGCAACAAGAAAAGATGAAAATTTAGGGTTAATCAATTTAGGGATATCAGTTTTCTAGAGATTCAATTATGTCCAATTGCAAATATATATTGTACTATGTTAATAGACCACGGTTAAATGAAGTTTATTTATTTATTTTTTTTTTTTTGCAATTTCAAATGATTTAACTTTAAAAAAAGTATATAAAAAATAAATTAAAAAGAAAATTATGTTTTCATCCTTAAAATAACAAGTGTCGACATTATATTGGTCTTTTGTTAATCAACTAATAAAAATTAGTCAAATTAACAAAAAAACATAACGAAATGGTTATTTTACACCAACTTCTAATCGTATAAGGTTGATTATGAACTATATCTAGATACATGCATTGTGACGATAATTTCATTAAAGTACAAGGGCATGAGGTGTATTAAACCCTCTCTTTTTAGGAGATAAAGAATAGATCAATGGAGCTTTTCTTAACATGATTATTGGTGGAGAATCAAGCTACAAGTTTAAAATATAGAACCTCAAAACTAAATATGGAGCCGAGGTCCAAATTATTACACTTTCGTATTGTTCCTTTGAAAATGGTAGAGAGGATCTTACACGTGGCGTCCGTATTTTGGAGTATGAGTTCAAGTGTTCCTTGGACATTTTGTACATGCTCAAACAACTTATCATATATTTCTAAGTTCATGTTTATATAAGTGAACTCTTTTGGGAGCTTGGTGTTTAGAATTTTAGGAATAAGGAACAAGTAGGGAGGCTTAGACCTTATAATTATGGCACTTTGGTTTGGCTTATCGAACCGAGCTCATTCCCATTTGGTGTCATTTAGGATCAAGATTGATTAAGGCATTTTGAAAATGTGAGCCCTCATAAGTGGTGCCTTTTTTTGGTGATGTCTTTGATCTTAACAATTGTCAATACTCGCTATCTCTCTTTCTCTCTCCCGTTTGGACCTTGATTAGCTAGCTATTTTTTATGATGGTGGGACCGACTTCTCTAAGGGTTAGAAAAGCAACAATTTTCTTTTTTTTTTTTTCGCTTGCCATCTCTTCACACCTCTATATCTCATTCTCAAAAGGTAGTTGCCTATATATATTTCAAGAAGGAGGTGGTGGAGGATTTTCCTCACCTAGTAGAGATAACAAAGGCGCTTGTGGTCCTCGTGGTGTTAGCAATAGAGTAGGAAAGGTTTTGAGTTGCTTTTGAGTGGCTAGGAGTGCTTATATAAACCTTTGAACTTTTCGTTGAAACTAAAAGAGGTCTATTAGTTAAACACTCGAACTAGCTAAGTCCATTGTAACACCATGACCTAATATTCTTTGATTTTCAACCATAAAAAATTTTAGAGTTTGAGAAATATGAGTTAAAATTTGGCTTTTGGCTCATATTCTCATAGATGACAATATTGGTAAGGTTATAAACCTTAAAAGAAGTGATTTTTTATTAACCGGTGCAAGTATAAAGTTTGCTTATGGATGGAGATTAAGCTAGCAATAAATACCGCAAAATAAGTTCTCTTAGTAGGATAGAGGAACCTATGACAACTAAGTCAATATATAGAGGAGAGTAATGATATAAAAAAGGTAAATATGCAAGTATGAAATATATGATAAATAGTAAAGGTGTTAAGAGAATGGTCGTTTAAAAGAAAAAAATCGGATCTTTTTACTCTAACTCTCATGACTACTCATCAAGTTGTATGGAAAAGGGGTAAAATTATCTTCTTCTTTATATATATATAAAATAACTTTTGATTCTAATCAAAAGATAAATATTTCAGATTTTGAAGAGTTACTATTAAATGAATATGAAGATGTTATGGTTATTGTCAATTGGACAAAAGTATCATTATGAGCATGACTTAATTTAATAAAGGTACTTTATGCCCTTCTAATTGGTAGAGATATGTACAAGTTCTCCGATCGTTGGCTAATTACCCGGAGATCTTCATTGGCTATCCGAGCATTGTTTAGACTTAGGTGACATTTGATGAAACTAAAAATTAAGTGTTGAATTTGTTAAGTATTGAATTTTAAATGTTGAATAATTAAGTACCGAATATGTTATTGATAAACTATTTGGTATATGTTAAAAATTAAGTGCTGAATATAATAAGGTTGTTTGATGAGTACTATTACTCGAATATATTATGGCTATATGCATGACAATTTTAATTTTGCAATTGTAATATAATATTTTTAACATAAATAAAGATATATACATAGAGGTGTTTGTGTGTATAAATAAATAAATAATCAATATAAAATGATTATTAATTCAATGTAATTTATTTATTTTTAGATTTTAATGCTTTATGTTTCTTGTTGGCTTGTGGCTCATTGTTTATGGTTCAAAGTGGTAAAATATATATATATATATATATATATATATATATATATATATATATAAGTAACGAAAGAAAAGGAAAACTTATAATTTAGGATTCATTCTAAAATATATATACATATATACTTAATTGAAATAATATAGATAATTAGAAGACTGATATATAGTTTGTCCTAAACTAGTTTAGTCAACGATTGACTCTGGGCAGTTGATTCATTGTCGTGTTCTTGTGCAAGTAGTGGACTTTTAAAGAAGAAAGAAAGCAAAAGAAAGAAGCAGAATGCTGTTGAGCAAGAATTACGGGACAGAAGGCAACACGTTCTTGGTCACTAGTGGGTTGGGATTCATAGGCTCCGCCTTATGTCTTGAGCTAGTCTGGCAAGGTGTGAGTCAGATGCGAGCCTTTGATCTCCGACCCACTTCTCCATGGTCTGATGATCTCAGTAACCTTAGAGTTCACTTCATTCAAGGTCCATCATCCTTTGTTTATTTTGCCAATCACTCTGAATTCCTGTCTTTTTTAGTATTTTGTTTTATTTTATTGCTTTGGATTATGTATAAATTAGATTTAAAATTGAAAAGATCAAGCAAACATTAATCAATTTTAAGGTGCTAAGTAGTGAATTTAGTCACGATTGCAACAATTTTAAAGCATTTCCATTAGTTCATTCTTTGTTGCTGGATTTCTATCAATAATGGTTTGAATTAGATTTTCAACCAAAAGCATTCACGAATTCATTCTTAATTGCCAAGGTTGTGATGATACAGGAGATCTTACTAGAAAAAAGATGTCAATAAAGCCTTGCATGGGGTTGATTGTGTTTTCCACCTTGCTTCTCGTGACAATGTAGGTGTCCTTTAGTTCGACAATAGAGATAATAGAAATTGTTTTTCAATTTGTTTGTATAAGTAGGGTTATAAGAATATATGAGAACTGTATAGTCATATATAAAAAATTTTAAAAATCTTTCAACTAAGAGTGTTAATTAAAAAAAATTATTTAAAAATTTTAACTTACCTAATTAAATAAATTTTGACTGAATTTAAATTTTAAATATAAAATTATTTAAATTATTAAATAATTTTTTTATATTAAATACTATAATTTAATTTTTAAATTTACTTAAATAGGTTATTAAATACATCCTTCCTTTTCAATACTGTGTCCTTGACGTAAGACCTAATTTCCCATGTGTGGTCCTTGCTAGGCATTGGACCTCCAAGTTTCTTGAATATATAAATAAATAAATAAATGAGTGTGAAAGAGCAACATGAACTTGCTGGCTACCGGCTCGAAATCTCAATGCGTAATGAAACGCACAAAACGGCCCTTTGACAGAAACTCAAAAGCAATTGTCGTTTAACGAGACAACTCAATTGAGAAGTCGCTTACATGCTTTGAAAAAACAAAACAAAAAACGCTGCGGACATTTTTGGGGTTCTCTATAAACTGCCTTTCAATTTCAGAAAACCGTCTGCAGAATTCTGCTAACAATGGAGGAGAAACCAAAAGAACCCAAAACGCCAATGATAAGCTTTGCATCAATAAACGAAGACCTTATCCAAAACATACTAAAGAGACTACCAGCTTCATCCTTTGCATCTGCAGCTTGTGTCAGCAAATCATGGAACCAAATTTGCAATCAAATCCTCTGCAAACCAAATTTTGCCTCTGCTTTTTCTCTCAATCCAGACGAAAAGGTTTGTTGGGTCTTCAAAAAAAAAAAAAAAAAAAGACTAATAAAGATTGTATCTTTATGGCAAAGTCTCAATCTTGAATTGAGTTTTTGTGTTTTTCGATGACATCAATATTTTGCATTAGAAGAGTCTTGTTGGGTCCTTAAAAAATCAAGAAAAGATCATTAGTGTCGTGTAAAGTCTCTTAACTTGAATTGGGTTTTTGATGATAAAACAGGTTGCATTAGAAGAGGTTGTCAATAAGGTTCTCTCAGAGCCAATTAGACCACATTTTGCCATTGCAAATGTTATTGGCAGTGGAGTTGATTTGAGTGAAAGACTTAATTTTGTAAGATATATCATTAACTGAAATATGTTGTTCCGGCTTTTTTTTTTTTTTCTTTTTCTTTTTCTTTTTGTGGTTAAATTAATGTTGGGCTTCGGTTGCTTTGTATGTTTATGCTGCAGTTAGCAGCAAAACTTGGTTCCAAAACTCCAATTATTGTGTCTTGCGCGAGTGGAATCATGGGAAGAGATGCTGTTACTGATGAACATAAGGAGGTCTGAATTGTAACATTTTCGGTTTTGTATTATTGAGACATATGCACGAACCTGTCATGACTTCTTCTCATAAATGTGCAGGTGATGATGGATGACTTTTGGGGTGATGGCGAATCCAATTCAGATTTTGGTATCATTTTGACTGTGGGGTTTCTACCAGGACTAAGAGTTGATGCTATCCCGCTGGTGCGACCAAGAAAGGTAATGAATTATGCAAGTAAACTTTAGTTTGGAAAATGATGTTGTTTCTAGGATTCTCTATTTCATTTGCCCAAGCTTGAATGGCATTGTGGCTGTGAGCATGATTTTGAAAAGGAAAAGGGACAACATGGGAGAGTAAACTAATCATGTCATTCTTGATGATTGGAACTGTTTCATTTTGGGATCTGTAACTTATACTGACTATTATTTTAGAGGAAGTACGGAGAACTTAATGCATTTCGTTTTTATAAGCTAACTAATCTTGAGTATTTTGCTGACGTGGTGACATCAGGCACATCGAGTGGCAATTATTGATCACTTTGTGATGAATATCAGGGATTATGCATCTTCTGTTTCTGGTTCAACATCACCACTTGCAATTATGATGTTTGGAGTAAGCTAATGTTTTCTATGTGCTTGCACATCCTTGTATATACCTTCTGGTGAGGTTCTTGCTAAGATGTGACTTTGGTGCTGCTATAGGGCGAAGACGCTGACCTGAAACCTGTCATGGAAAAGTTAGGTGAGTTTTTTTCAACTCATGGAAATTATGTTCTTCTTGGGTTTGATGTTGTTTCTAGGATATAAAACAAGCCTCATCTTGTCCACAGAAAATGAGGCAAACCAAAACAATGAAAGTATTTACTTTTAGGACCCAGACAAGGTAAACACTACTGATGCAAAGAAACTAGCATTGTTGATCTGAGGGTTGTTATTTTATACCTTTCTCAAACCGGACAATATACAGACAATTTTGTGCCTATTATTTGCTTATTTGTTTTTTGAAAAGTCTGCTGTGGTTGATGAGAGTTGATTTCTTTTCTTTCATTCTCTACTTGTAGTAGTAGTTTATTATGAACAAAATTGGTTGCTTATGTTATCTGTTTGGTTATGTCACTATAAAGTGGACTAATAAAAATCTGAAGATGTATCTATTTAGTTGATAAATTTATAAGATATTTAATAGTTGACCCAGATTTTGAAAGTGTTGCTAGACATGATAAACTGTCATGCAGCAGTCTCCTGTGCTGCTCGTTGAAGTTGATAATATGTTGTTGCAGATCATGCCATGCCAAGGGAAACTATCATTGTCGGTGATGAGAGAGCCCGATTTTTGTACAGAAGTGGCATAGAATCAAGATATATCTATGGGAGTGGTGGTTATTTTTCTGATGCAGTTGCTCTTGTATTTGCAAGGGATCAATACAGAAATTGTGGTATCTTTATTCATATGTGTATTTGCTACTTCATTCTATTTTCCAACTAATTTGAATAGACAATGTTCTTGCCTTTTCTTAGTATAATGAGTTAAGTTGTTATCTCATTCTCTGCTGCTTTGGCTTAAAGCAGGTGCAGGGCAAATCCAATTCCATGCTGTGCTATCAACTGGTGTTTCTGCAGTAGGTCCAAGGTACAAGGCAGTATCTGTCAAAGAGATTGGATTTGGGACAGGTCGTAATACATGGCTTACTGCCAGAAGAGAAGGAGAACAGGAGATTCTGGATGGTCAACGGATTCTAGATGATGTCAATAATGAGGTATGCTAGCCTTGTCGAAACCCATCCTTTTGGCTTAAGGTGATTTCCTAATTTGTAGTTGTTGGTTTGGTTACTTCATCTTTCTATGATATTTTTATAAGATGTATCTTAAGAAATATATATATATATTTGTATTGAATTTTGATGCTTAAGGGTGATAAGCTTCTGCTGCTTTTGTTTTTCCTTTGTCGTTTTTTTCTTTTTTCTTTTTTTGTTTTGTTTTGTTTTTTCTTTTTAAAAAAGTGCACAAATGAAGTAGAATTAAGTAATGGGCTTAACTGTTGCTTGAAATGCCTTTCAACCATTTGCATAGTTGTTTATTGCTGACTGACTGACAGTGAGCTATATTTGTTAAGTGTGCTTAGGAAAATGTGATTAGTTTGTCATTTATGATGCTGAAAGCTTATGGTATGATCTGTGGTAGAGTTCTTGATTTTGCTACAGTGAATTAATTCAATCATGTTTAGTTGTGCACAATTAATATAATGCCATAAAATGAAAATACTCAGTTTCTTCCGTGACAAATTTACCAATTATTAGGTAGCTGGTTTATAGGGTTTTGAATTATCTGCAACTGTTTTCTTAATTCATACACACAGAAGTGATGTGCTGTGAATAACTCCTTGACATTGTTGCAAAAATTTGCAATTTCATTAAAAAGCTTATTATTTTTCTGGAGAAAAAAAATGTTGATGCGTAAATATACTGCTTCATCACGTAGGATTCTAATTTTTGATGGCTGATCGCCTGAAGTGTTCAAATGCAGGCTTCAGCAAAATAAATAAATAAATAAATAAATAAATAATAATAAAATAAATCTATAATGGTAATGCAGGGGCTTTAAAAAATTGCTTTTCCAGATTGGAAGTAAATAAAGATATGGTATCCCTACTTATCTTTGCTTCAATCAATCAACATCTTGGGGGAAAAAAAAATCAATATCTTGTCTGAATGCAGGTCACCAGTTATGCTATACAAGATTCTTGCTACCTACAATTCAATCATCTGAAATGTTCATATTTGAGTTTTTATTCTTACATTTATTTAATTGTTTGCCAAAGTTGAATACAGGCTATCTTTTCTCCGATTACTTATAATCTGTCTCTAGTGTTTAATGTTTCATGGAAGTTTTGTGGAAATGCCTTATTGAAAGCATGTAATTTTTACCCTTCAGGTGAGGGGGAAAAAAAAAAGATTGATTGTCTTTTTTATTTATCTTAAAATATTATATTGATTACCAAGTACTTTTTCCATCGTATTAATCTTTAGCTATATTTGATTGGATGTATACGAGTATGTTTCTGTGTTATTTCTCCTTTTGTTGTATTTGTGACCTTTCTGAAGTATGGATGTGCAACAGTTGGCAAACAATGTTGGATGCCCTGATCTGTACATCGGGGTTACTGAACAGAGAAGATGCTTTGTTGGGTCGGAGAAGTCAAGAATGATGACATTCCTGGTTTTCCATGGAGTTATGGGGTGAGATACTGAACTTTTGTCATCTTTATTGTATTTTTTGTACAGATGTTTTCCATGCAGTTGAAATAATGTATGAAACATGGAAAAGAAAATTTGCTATCTCATCACTCAGCTTGTCAAACATAGAGAGCTTTCTGGCACTATTTTTTCTGTTTTCTTTTACTTTATAACTTCTCTGCACTGAGAACTTATAATAATGTTTGTTTTGTGAGTAATAAGATAAGATGGGGAGTAAACAAATAAGAAAAAAAAATGGCGATGCAAAAAACAAGGACAATATTATTGATTAATTGGACCAGTAACCAAGAAATGTTTACTCTCATGCGTTTCTGAATCTGATCACCGAAGCAACTGGTGAAAATTGATTTGTATGATCTTACTGCTGTATGCGCTGGTGCTAGAAATGTTATCAATTAATTGGACCAGTACCCAAGAATTTTTTACTCATGTGTTTCTGAATCTGATCACTGAAGCAACTGGTGAAAATTGATTTGTATAATCTTATTGCTGGATGAGCTGGCACTTGAACCAACAATAGTATTTGGTAGTATCATAGCAATATATTGATTTAGGAATTTTTTCTTGTACTTGGTTTAAATGCTCACTTCTAGACTGTTAAAGATTCTTTCTCATTGAGATAGTTGTGTCAAACAGGGGAGATCAGGAGTACCTTTTTGCTAATGGAGTTGGTATCAGAACTGGTGACTATTTCCAATTTTACCATTCAGATCCAAGCACTGCTTTATCTTCATGTAGTAATGTCTCCAAGTATTTCAGAAACCTGAAGCTAGACTGGAGTTCTAGAAAATGCTGTCATGCAGGTAGTGTTGCTGATAATGATGGTAACAAGGAAGTTGTTGGAGGTTTTGTTTTCTCTTGTTGTGGCCGTGGCGAATCATTCTTTGGACATTGCAATGTTGATAGCTCACCATTCTTGGATAATTTTCCTGGGGTCCCAATGGCGGGAATATTTTGTGGTGGGGAAATCGGGCGTGGCTTTTCAAAAGCAGATGAAGGCGAAGAAGATGGGACTTTGCGTTGCTGTCTACATGCGTATAGCACTGTGTATCTGTTGGTTTCTTATACTCCAGCACCTCCAGAGCATTAGATTTTACTTTCTTCCTGATGGATTTCCAGAAGTGATTCCTATTGGTGGGACTGGGTGGTGAGGTTGCTTGACTGTATTTTTCTGTGATCATGCTGTATTAGAAGCGAACCTTAGGGTAAACTCTGCAGGAATGACATTTTCACAGCTACTAACCCACCCACACTGTCCATTGTCATCTGGGAACAGCGATACTGTCCATCCCTGAAACTTAGATATGCTGATGTTATATCTTGCTATTGCACGAGGTACTGAGGATGTTTGACCTTTCATATTGTGCCCGATTGTCATCTGCTTCTTGGTTATTCTCTTTACATGCACACACATATATATGGATATAGACACGGTGATACGATAATTTTTTAAAATTTAGGATATGGTATATGAGGAATACCATAAAAAATTTTAAACATGCTATATGTATTATAGAATCTAACACCTTCATATTTCTGATAACTTTTATTTGTTTTGGTTTAAAAAAAAAAAAAACAAAAAACAAAAAAAAAAACCACTTATATGTGAAGTTTAAGCCTTTAAACTATGAAATTTCCGTGCTTTCCAGTCTTTAAGGTATTTTGTTTCTCGTGTAGATCCCTATGAGTCAATGACTGATGGCTGATTGCTTGGGTTGAGTGGATTTTAATTGTAATGCATTCATATCATTGAGCATTCCAACCAATAAATACATTTACCTTATAAGAAAAAGAAAATTGCTGCTAATCTCCTGAAAGCTATATAACTAATTACTATGTAATTTTACTAGTTACAAAAATTAGAGAACAACTCCAATAATAAAAAAAAGAAACAAGAAGATATTTTGTTGCCTTTAGAAATAAAAATAAATAAATAAATAATATTTATATTAAAAAAAAATCATAATAGTGATTTTACTTAAAAGCATTGTAAATATTTAATATTTTATTTGCAAACTAAACGCAAACAAAGAAGGCCGATAGACATAAGTACAATAAACAGTTTGTCGTTGAGTGGAATGAAAACGATCTATAGTTCAAGCCACATTTTGTGACTCCAACGCATAAAAAAGAGGCATCAAATCTTCCGAATCGGAGCTGCGAATTCGATGTCAAAACAATGGAGAAGAAACCTAAAGAACCCAAAATGCCAATGCCAGTCTTTGATTCAACAAGGCAAGACCTTGTTCAAAACATACTAAAGAGACTGCAAGCTTTATTCTTTGCATGCGCAGCTTGTGTGTTATGAACTCGCTAGGAGTGTGGAATTATATCTATTGCTTTTATAATCACCGTTAGTAGTCAATGAACTATGCCGATGTGATATTTAGTTAGGATAATTGGTAGTTAGTTATAATACCGAGTTAGTATTAGTATATAAACAAAGTAAAATGGGAAGTCATGCATGCAATGTGTGAAATAAGAAATCAAAACAGTACTTTTCTTCCCAACTTTCTTCTTCTTCTTCTTTCTAGATCTTCTTCAAAACCTTTTCTTTTTTTTTTTTTTTTTTTTAAGGAAAAACCCTTAACAAATTGTTATCGAGCTGAAACAGTGGACCAAACAATTTAATAATGGTGGACAATAACTCGAATGAGGGCATTAGAAGAGCATAACAAAAAGCAGGAAGAGCAAATCCAGAATGTACCAAGAGTTTCAAGATAATATTGAAGCTCTTAAGAAGAAAATGGTTGACAAAACTCAACAAACATTAGCTTCAATTCAAAACTTTAATGAAGACAACCAAGTCTAACGTGGCTAAAAGGGAACCCGAGAAAGAGCTAAGATCATCTTCAACCTCTTCACAGGGAGCAACACAAGCTCTAAAACCAATGTATGCTCGCAACTCAACAAACTCATAGTGAGCATCTATTAACTTCGAGTTTTAGGAATCAACTTACAGTACGTCAATTCCTAAAGTGAATTTGCAAGTGTTTTGGGGAGAGAATCCACGTGGCTAGGTACTTTGCTAGAAGTTCTTTAAGATAAACTTTATTCCTATTCATTAACGAGTAAACATAGCTTTAATGTGTTTGGAAGATAGAGCTGGAATTTGGTTTGAAGGCTTTGTGATATGAAGTGACTTAGGTAATTGAGAGGAATTTGAAAGAGAATTGTGTATGAGATTTAAGAGTAGGGAGGATGTAGTAAAATAATTTAATAAGCTAAGAAAAAGAAGTGAAGGTTATGTGGAAAGATTTGAGGAATTAAAGTCATTGATGATTATGAGTAATCCACACTTACCGCAGTTTTATTTCATATCTTGCTTCATTAATGGCCTAAGAGAAGATATTAAGCCCATGCTCAAAATCCCGCAACCAACCACCATAATCCAAGCTTTTGATCAAGCTAAATGGTAGGAGGAAACCACTACTCGCCTCGTCAATAACCAAAACTTTCCTACCTAAAACACCACTAAACCTTACACAAATCATATAAACCAACATCACAAACCTCATTCCAAACCATACATTCCTAACTCAAGAAATGAGTTTACTACACAAAGAGCCTCTTAACCCCACTCTTTCGAAAACACAACCACAATTTGAATCCTATATGCTAAGAGAAGAAAGTTAGGCCTATGCTTCAAGTGTTGAAGTAAATAAAACCTTGACCAACCAATGTGCAAAGACATTGAATATGATAGCAGAGAATGAAGGACCATGTTAGTAAGGAATTTTTAGATAAGGGAGAAGAATTTTTAGATGAGGAAGATGGGGATGAGGTGGAGGATGGATTAAAGGACCACGTTAGTAAGGAATATGGGTTGTCATTCCATGCTATAATAGCTAAGTATGCTAATAATACTATGAAAATCAAGGCTAATTCCTTATAAAAAGAGATTATCATCTTGATTGATAGTGAAAGCACACATAACTTCATTGATTTTAGGACCGTGACAAAGACCAAGGTCGTGTTGAGCATAGCACTCCTCGAGTGTAACGATTGCTAATGGGGATATAATGAAGTGACAAACCGAGAGTTCATGGTTGGTTTGGTTTATGGAATGACATGAATTTGAGGTTGACTAAAGGATATTGGAATTAGAATGAGGGTTGTAATATGGTATTAGGAGTTGATCGGCTACAAATGTACTCTCTCATGTTATTTGATTTTATGGATATGATATTATTCTTTAAGAAAGATGGCAGGAGGATTGAGTTAAGGGAATCTATAAAAGAAGTGAAAGTTCAACAAATGGCATTAGCTAGAGTGCATAAAACTCTTATCTCAACAAGTATATGGTTTAGTGGGGAAAATGTTCTCTATAATAGCTGGTGCTAAAGTGGGTGCTCGAATTAGAGGTGGTCGCTAATAAGGAAATACGAGCCTTATCGCTCAAATATTAAGAAGTATTTGCCATGTCAAAGACACCGCCACTAGTAATGAGATTCAATCACAAAATTCCACTAGAACCCGTTACTAAACCTATGAATATTCAACTTTATAGAAGTTTATACGTTCACAAGGAAAAAATTAAAAAGTCTGGTTAGAGAAATGCTATAAAATAAAATTATCCAATTAAACTAGAGCCCATTTGCATCTTTTATGCTACTAGTCAGTAAGAAAGATGAGAATTAGAGATTTATTATGGATTATCGACAACTTAATAACATAAAAATCAACAAAAAATTTCTTGTCCCATGATTAATGACTTATTAAAGGAGTTACAAGGTTCTCACTTTTTTTTCCAAAATTGATTTAAGGTTTAGATACCACCAAGTGAGGATGAATAAGGTGAATATAGAGAAAACAACCTTTTGAACATACCAACGACACTATGAGTTTAGAGTGATGCCCTTCGGGTTAACTAATGCACATGCAGCTTTCCATAGTATGATGAACTCGGTAATGGAGCCTTATTTGGGGAAGTTTGTTCTTGTATTCTTCGATGAAATCTTGGTATATAGTCCTACATTGGAATCATATATAACTCATCTTGCAAGGGTGTTATATGTTTTTGCAAAATAGATTATTTATTAGAAGGTCCAAGTACACATTCTACCATACTCGAGTGGAATACTTAAGCCACACCATCTCTAGAGCTACGGTAGCTAATGATCCTAAAAAGACAAAAACGATTAGTGGATGGCCAAGTCCTAAGTCGGTGAGGGAATTAAAGGGTTTTTTAAGATTGGCGAGCTACTATAGGAAGTTCATTAAAAAATTATGATGGGTTAGTAAACCCTTAACTAAACTATTGAAAAAGAATGGCTTCCAATGGAATAAACAAGCTCGGCATGCCTTTGAGCAATCAAAAACTCTATTCCGTAATGCTCTTAAGCTAGCTTTGCCTAATTTTCATAAATCTTTTATACTGAAAATAGATGCTTGTCATAATGGGGTATGAGCTATTTTGTCTCAAGATGGGATACCCTTAGCTTGTTTTCTTCAACATGACGTTATGTCTAAAACATCAAGGTACATCAATTTATGAAAAATAATATTTGGCAATTTTGATGGCAGAGGATAAATGAAGGCATTACTTGGAAATTGACAAGTTTGTAATCAAATCCGACCATAAGATCTTAAACATCTCTTAGAGCAACTAATTCATACTTCAATTCGAGTGTAAATGACTAACTAAACTCTTGGGATTGAGTTTTGAAATTCAATATAAAAGAGGAAAAGGTAATATAATAATAGATGCATCATCTAGGAGGGTGGCAAGTTCACCTATGTAATCTAAAGGAAGTCTCTATGATGTAACTACTATGGTATCAAGTTGGTATCAAGACATTCTTGCATCATATGAGCCGGATACAAAGGCACAAGAAGTTATTACTACCAAGGAACTTCATAAGGATGCTTTTCCATAGTTTACTTATCATGATAGGATATTAAGGTACAAACACTAGGTGTACATTATGGAGGATTAGGAACTACAAAGGAAGTTATTATTGACTACCTATAGTTTAACTAGGAAGGGGTCATGCAGAGGTACAAAATAGTTACGGGAGGATTAAAGGTGTCTTCTATTGGCTAGTAGTCAATGAATGGTGAAATCCATAGAGGAATGTGATGTTTGCA